TCTATTAGAAATTAATCCATTGAAAACTGTCTTCTTCCTAGACAGCAAAAACCATATTTCATTTCTCCTTTATGGTGAACTAGCTATTATGCCATTACAGTTTTCTCTGCAGTTCCTACTTTGAGCACTAGAGGTGGTTGTTTTCACAAAAAAATATCTAATATTTACTCTGTTTAATCACTTCTACCACACACTGCCCTATTAACGTTTCCCAGATAATTCTTTGTGAACTGATGTGTAATCTAATGCTTATCTTTACAGCAGCACTGGAAATTGTAACCTAGGAGGCAATTAGTGCAGCACAAATAGCAAAATCACCACTTGTTCAAGGCAAAATCAAGCCCTGCTAAAATACAGTCCCAGATTGATAGAACACCCCCAGCCTCTTCAGTGCAAACGACTTAATGACAGCTGCTGAGAATGATGAGATTTGTGGTTCAGTTCAGTGAAATGTACCATTAGTTTATAGACCTGATATAGCTGCATGTTTCGTAGTTGATGGTTATGAGTTCAATCTAGGTGGAAAAATATGTAAGATATTTGGAGAACATTGTGGAAAACTGATTACATGAGGGATAGGGGAAGCATATGCTTTTTGTTACAAGAGGTCTCAGGTTAAGCCCTGCCTGAAACATAGGACAAGCATTGCCAGTCAGTTGCTGTATTCACAGAAGGTACAAAATCACAAACCAACCAGCCAATTATATTTTAGTGTTAGGTATCATGCATATTCAGCCAATGTGAAAGTGTTTAGTTCAATTTATTGTGGAAACCCAGAAAATTGGATCAAGTAAAACATGGTTAAATTAACCACAATAATTCTGGGATTGATGGGCCAATGTTCTTATTTAGTATTAAAAAATTCCACAGTTTTTAATGTTGATTTGGTATATAATATATTGAAAAACCGCACCATTGTCTTTTCTATCAGGGTATTTTATTTTTATTTTCCACAATGAATGAATTCTGGATTTATCTTACTTTTGAAAATGGACTGATTTGGTTCCCTTATATACAAAACTCCTCACATGGCAGGGATAGCCAAGATATTTAGAATATATTTTTTGAGGAAAAAGAGAAATTGTTTTAATAATAATGAAAATGGAAATGATCTAGACAAAATGAGTGATAATATCTAAAGTAAAAAAAATGTAAATATCCAAGTAGCAATTAGTGGCTGGGAAAAATAGGTGTTGGGGGAGAAAGAGAGAAAGAAGGACTACTAAAATCCTCTTTTTAAAAAGATTTTATTCTGCTTTTTAAAAACTTTTCCTCAAAATCCTTTGTGTGTATATGTACTGTACATATTTGCTTGTAAATTTTATTTAACTAAAAAGGGGTTAAAATATTCAAAATTTTAAATTGATTTTTAGTTTATATCTTTTAACAAGAAATATTTTAGAAATGACCTCATTGCATTTATGTTGAGATGCAGTTTAAATATATTAATCTAAATATATTGTTTTATTTTGGTAAGAAGCTATTACATATATTAACTCAACTTTGAGTTTAATGTCTTCAGATGTTCATATTCCATCTTTATCAAATGGGTGCCGACCTCTGAACAAAGAAAATATTGATGAAAATATTGTTCACCATCAGAAAAACATACATGTGGCTTTAACTATTTGATGGTTTGCAGAATTGATTAAAATTCAATTCAGGGGGGCCTTCGCACAGGTTGCGCCCTTTCCTGGACTGAGATGACCTACCTTCGCACAGTCACTCATGCCCTGGTTTCTTCCCACTTGGATTACTGCAATTCCCTCTATATGGGCCTGCCCCCGAGATGCACCCGGAGACTCCAGCTGATCCAGAATGCAGCTGCACGGGTTATTATGGGAGCCCCTCGTTACTCCCATATAACACCCCTCCTGCATAAGCTGCACTGGTTACCAGTGGTTCTCCGGGTCCGCTTCAAGGTGCTAGTCCTCACCTATTAGGCCCTTCATGACTTAGGTCCGGGATATTTGCATGACCTTCTCCTGCCTGCCTCTCACCGTCCTGTTCACTCACATAGGACCGCTCTCCTCAGGGTTCCGACGGTGAGCCAATGTCACCTTGCTGTGCCCAGGGGTAGGGCGTTCTCTGTGGGTGCTCCCACCCTCTGGAATGAATTGCCTACTGAGCTCCGGACGGCCCCTGATCTCCGCTCCTTCCGTCGGGACTTGAAGACTTGGCTTTTCAAACAAATAGGCTGAGACTGATTCCGGACTTTATTATTTACTACTAATTAATTATTTGGATTAAATTATGATTTTATTGTACTTGTTTCTTAAGTTGTGTTTGCCGCCCTGAGTCCTTTGGGAGAATGGCGGCATATAAATACATTTAATAAATAAATAATAAATAAATAAAATAGATTAACCAGGGATTATTGTAACCAATCATATTTTTAATTTATTAATATATGTACATCTGTTAATATACATTATGCATGTTTTGCAGCTTTTTAACAGCTTTTTTCCTCTTATAATTTGGTGTAAAGTTTTTTGTATTTAGGTAATAAAAAAGAAAAAAATGAGCTGTTTCGTGCTATTTGCAAGTCAGACTCTTGACAACAACAAAAATGCATAAAGTATCAATATTGCAAAGTAGTTTATAAAAGTAGAAAGTATATTTTAGTAGATATCACTGCCCGTTTGTCACTAACAGCTGGGAGTTCATAACTCGTGTTTTAGAAAAAATAAACCATATACTTTTGACATCATATCCCAACTTGGCATACTCTAAACTTTCCCATTCCTACTTAGCATGACTTAAAATTCTGAAAAATGGCAATTCCATCTTATCAGGTGCCTACTAGATTTGGGAGACTTATTCTATAACCACCATTATTCACTGAAGATGTAGTTATCTCATATAGTTTAACAGCTTATAATTAAATACACCATAGAATTCAATAGAGAAAAAAGCATTCGAGATGAAATAGGTGCACGTCAGTGGTGGGTTCCTCCCGGTTCAGCCCGGTTCTGCTGAGCCGGTAGCGGTGACGATATGATGTCAACAAACTGGTTCTGCCTGCCCCCCCACCCCCCTCCCCGCGTTATTCTTACCTTTTATTTGGCCCCATCCCCAATCTATTGCTGGCTCCTGAGTCCCAGCTGATGGCTAGAGGGAAAAAAACTGTTTAAACTCTTGCCACTGGGCTTCAAAGGGCCGCCCTATAGCTGATCAGTGTTAAAAGAAAACAAATGAGTAGACCAGTGCCTGCAAAAATACATGAGTAGATCAGTGCCTGCAAAAATAAATGGGAAGATCGGTACAGCTCTGCAAGCAGTTAAAAGCCTGGTAGACCAGTACCTCTGCTAAATCCTAAACAATTGTTACATGACCATCAAACCACACCCACAAAATAAGCCACGCCCACAGAACCAGTAGTAAAAAAATTTAGAATCCACTCCTGGTGCACATATCTGAAAGGTTCTGAGTGTTTTAGTATATTTCAAGCTCAAGCTCAGCCAGAAATTTGATGCAGCTGCAGTATTAGGCTATAGTCAGTGAAACTATGTACTATTGTGTACATCATAGCAATTAAATAGTTCTGCTCCATTTTCTTCTAAATGTGATACCCTCTTTCATTCTGCCCACCACATTTTAAGGACATTGACAAATACATGTGTATTTAGAGAACAGCAAAAGTGATGAGGAATCTGGAAATCAAGTCCTAGGAGAAACAATTGAAACGGAAGACGTGAATTTGTTTAGTCTGGGGAGAAGGAGAATTATGATAATGATCTTCAGATATCTGAAAGGCTGTCATGCCAAAGATGACTAGATTTGTTCTCTGTTACTCCAGAGGATAAGACTAGTATCAATTGCAGGGAAGCAATTGGGAGAACTTTGCCGAAGATATTAACTGCAAACTGCTTTGTAATTGCCACACTAAATTCAGGAGTTTGTTAATACTGTTAGGTATGCATATTTTATTAATCTACTGCAATAAATGTATTTTTAATTGGTTCTACAAGGTACCTTCTACAATACTTACACACACACATATACTTACAGATACTTCTTTAATTTTTAGACAAGGAGAAAAATGCATGCAATAATACAAATCGTTCGATCCATATTAAAGTGATTGCTAATGGAAACTCCTATCATGCTTGCATGAAAATAGAAGCTATGGCTGGAAGGGGGCTCAGGATGGTCTGTAAATCAGGCAGATTGCCAGTTCATGAGACTTTGGTTGTAGCAGACCCTCAAATGATGAAGATCTTAAAACAAAATAGTAGTTACTGGCATGACCCTCTAAAACAGATGTAAGCAATAAACAATTATATATATTATATAAATAAGAGATAGAAATAATATTTTCTTGTATTACACTCCTCTAGTTATAAACTTATATAATTAAAATACCACATAAAACACTAAATTAAGTAAGAACCATATATTTAAAATTCAGTTAAAGTTCAATTAACCAAGACGGGAGGGAAAGGAAGAGAGTAAGGTGCGCGAGGGGTGGAGATGTGGTCTGACCAGGGGTGAAATCCAGCAGGTTCTGACAGGTTCTGGAGAACCGGTAGTGGAAATTTTGAATAGTTCGGAGAACTGGCAAATGCCACCTCTGGCTGACCCCAGACTGGGGTGGGAATGGAGATTTTGCAATATCCTTCCCCCAGGAGTAGGGAGGGAATGGCGATTTTGCAGTATCCTTCCCCTGAAGTGGGATGCAAATGGAGATTTTGCAGTATCCTTCCCCTGCCACACCCACCAAGCCACATCCACAGAACCAGTAGTAAAAAATATTGGATTTCACCACTGGGTCTGATTGATTAACTACCTCCAAGATGTCATTCCCCAGGGCAGTTGGCACAGCCAGGTCTTAAAGTCCTTTCGAAAGGCTAGAAGGGAGGGTGTGGATCTTATCTTGGGGAAGAGGTGGCAGCATGTTCCAAAGGGCAGGTGCCATGGCAGAAAAGGCTCTTCTGGATCCCACCCGCCCAAATTCCTTGACTGATGAGGTCTACAGCATGTTTCCTCTGTTGATGCAGGTTGGACAGGATAATCGCATTAGATTATTGGAACTACAACTCCAGAATTAAGAACTGTACATCTTGGTCAAGGTGTAGTTTTTCTGTATCAGCTGGCTATTTTCTCCAGGATCCTACCGGTATTATAAATATGCCGTTTTTATGCAATATATATCTATTACATACAGTATATCAATCGCATGATTTCATTAGTTACTTGTTTTAGTTTCTAATAATGGAAAGTTCAGAATGGGTTTATTTGTGATAGGGATCAAACAGAGCTTCTCTGTATGGTAGCATTTTTAAAACACAGTTTCTACATCAAGGTCTGCGCTACAGCTGCAAAGTGTGCACCAATACCATGTCAGACACAGGGAGGCAAAGGAATTTGGAAATTAGAGTAAGGAGTGGAGGTGAAAAAGCTGGAAATGGAACACAAAGTTGGGGTAGGACTAGATCTATCAGTCCCATGAAATATAACATATTAAATATCATGTAATGAGATATCTAGGAACACAGTATTAATACTAAAACATGACTTTGGCATTCCCATTCCCTCCATCGAAAACTCAGGTAACAAATACAATAGTTATTGTTTAGACCAGCCTGAATGACCTGCAACCCACCCAGCAATATGACCCACTGGTGTTTATTTAAAAATAACCAATCCACTGCCACCACACTTCACCACCACCAAGAAAGATCTGTGCCTAGGTTTTTGCAGTCACTTCCACTCTGAAGATGTACTGCCAAGTGCCACCAAGCCTCACAGTCGGTGGCAGTTCCATCATTGTCTACTGGGCTGCTAGTTTTGGCCAGCTATTCCTTTGTAATCCACAATTATTTTTCAGGGTATTAATCTGGTCCTTTCCCTTCTACAGTATACGCAGCCTTGCTTTAGACTCTTCACATCTCAGATCATGACTTCAGTCAAAAAGACAGCAATTTGATAATCTGAGGCGCCTCGAAGCCTAAATATAAATGATCTTATCAGGAAAGGGGAAATGAAGATGGCTAGGAATGGGGAATTGACTACATTAAAAATGTGAATAGTTTACATACTGCTTTTTCAAAAAATCTCTGTTATTTGTTCTAGCAAAAATGTTTTCAAAATCAGAGCTTAATGTGTCTAGGATGCTTAAAAACAGATAATTACCCCAAAATTGTCTAGAATGTATATGGTACTTTGAGCTTTTGTTGGAAATGAGGACAGCATGAAGGGTAATTTTATCATGCCTAGAGTTTAAAGAAGTTAACATTTCTGGGTGCAAATACATATATTGATACAAAGAATTTTAAAGATCAACATTTGACTGAAAGCAGAACTTTTCTTGCTAGATTAATGGATAGTCAATTAGAAAAGAGCCATGGAAGATTTTTTATTTTTATATATGATTTACTGCTGTCAGCCTTTTATATGCGCAAAAATAGAAAGACTGAAATATCCACAATGGAAGAATAGTTTGTGAAGATGACATAGTAGCAGAGATGATATATATTTTTTAATTATAGAAACCTCAATTACATTTATTAGTGATTGGAAACCCCTTATGAACTTTTTGCTGAAAAAAAGAGAGAAGTGAATTTGTGAATTAGGGGTTTGAAGATTAGAAACTAGCTAAATGGAAAGAAAGAAACTTAGAGACAGCAAACTATAAATGTATCTAAAACCACTGTCAAGATCAGAAGATCCTTGTTTATAATTGTTCATTTCTACTTCTTTTTCTATTTTCACTTGTATTTATATTTATCTTTATTCAATTTTTCCTTTAATAAAAATGACTAAAAACTTTTCTACACAAGTCTTAAATATAATGTGAAAAACTGTGTAAACAATACGTTTAAAACAAAAGCCAGGTTCTTGCTGGTTTGGGGAGAACAGAACCAATCATAAATCATCTTAGTTAAAAGTTCATCAATTGACAAATGCCAGACACGGGCAATAAAGTAGTATTTTCCAAGCTTGGAATTCTTTTCCAATCTTTTCCAGAATTGCCGACTGGCGAGTTCTGGGAGTTGAAGTCCACACATCATAAAGTTGCCAAGTTTGAAAACAGCTGCAATAAAACTATCTTCGCTTCCTACCCCCCCCAACCCCACCCCCCAACTATGGCTTTTATTATTCAATCAATGCAAGAACCTTAATACGGCATCAAGAAGAGTTAAACTTTAAAAATAATGTTTCACACATTCACATCGAAAAGGCATCGGGATCCGAATGCTAAAACTTGCAAAATTTCATCAATAAAAACAGGAGATCTTGAAGCTTGCTGCATTCCTTAAATGGGCGTAGGGAAGAAAGCCAAAGAGAACCAACTACCTGGTAGTTCACCCTAATCTTGTTAAACACGCGGGAGAGAAAAGGGAAAACGCAGGACAAGAAACACGCCCCCCCCCCCCAAAAAAACCCCGAGGAGCACGCCCCCTTCCCTGATCTCCCCTCCGCTTTATTCTTCTTCCATCTCCCCGCCCCCCTCGCGTCCCTGCCCCTTACGTCATTTCCTGGGCGGCCATCTTGGAGGCCTGGCTATCCTATCGGGCTCCATTGGGTTTCGGGGGTGGGTGGGGATTCGTGCCGGATCTACCTCGGCTGGCATCGGCGGGGACGGGGCTGCCTTTGGGGCGCTCGACTAAAGTCGCTGGCGGCCGCCATTCGCGCATCGCAGCGCCTGCCTGACCGTCGCTATGTCGGATTTCGACAGCAACCCTTTCGCGGACCCAGACCTTAACAACCCTTTCAAGGTAAAGGGGGAGGGAGGGAGACGCAGGTAGGAGTGGACGCACCGCCGTGTCTCGGCTGAGCAGCCGCTCGGAGCACGTCGAGTTGCGCCGGAGAGGAGGGGAGGGGAGGGGAGGGGAGGGGGGGCGTTCGTTATTCGTTACTCTCAGGGCTGGCGGACATACTTGCAAACTCTACCTTCCACGGTGGCTCCCTCTTCCGCCCCGCCCTCTTCCACCCTTTTGCGGGATACAGAGATCTCGGCCGGCTCGATCTTTGGCCTCCCAAGGAAGCTCCATTTGGGAACCTGCTCTTCCTTCCCTGCCTTTTTTCTCGGAGGAGGAGGAGAAGGAGGCTGTCTGGTTGTATTGGCGATGTTCTGCCCTCGAAGGGGCTTCTAGAGGAGGGGTGGCCAGGTGGGCGGAGGGGGTGTAGGGCTCGGATGCTCCAGTGGTTTGCTTCTCCCAGAAGGGTGCTGCCCTCTGTTGCCAGGTTCCTGCTGTCGCTGGTAACGTCGTCTGCCTCCCCGTCTCCCGTCTAGGAAAAGTCAAAGATGGAAAGAAATAGTGAGTTGGTACTTTTTAAATGGCTTATGAATTGCTGGGGGAGGTGGCCAGATGTGCCTGCAAAGTATTGAATTCCTTAAAAAGCAAAGGCGGCTGAATTGAGGGGGTGTGTGGTGGTTTAAAAAGATGATATCAAGCTAATCACTTTGTAAGGTCAGCTGGAGGGTTATCAAATTTTATTTATTCGTTTTTGAAATCCCGCCTTTTGTTTCTTTATAGTAACTCCAAGGCCGCAAACACACACAATACTCCTTCCTCCAGTTTTTTCCCAACAACAATCCTGTGTGAGGTGACTTGGGTTGAGAGAGAGAGAGAGAGAGAGTGAGTGACCCAAAGTCATCCAAGTGGTTTTTCATGGCTAAGGCAGAACCAGAAGTGACAGTCATATGGTTTCCAGGCCATATATGTAACGTGGATTAAGTATGAAGGCAGGTCATAAGATTGATGTGCCAACTATTATTAAGGTGATATACAAATATTATGGAATAAATACATGTATGCATCTGTACCAACTTGCAGGCTTGAATAAAATAGGATGCCTGCTTCTGAACTTGTCATATAACAAGAATGGAACTGGGTTTCCCCAGGGACTCTCACAACCTGGGGTAAGAGATAGCAGGAACAATGAATAATAATTTGGCCTGCTATTTTTATAAATATACAGTGTGTGTGAGAGGGAGGGAGGGAGGGATAAAGGAAGGAAGGAGAGAAAGAAAAAAAGGAAAGGAAAAGGAAGGAAGGAAGGAGAAAGAAAGGAAATAAAAAGAAAGGAAGGAAAAAAAAGAAAGAAAAAGAAAAAAAGAAAAGACTTCCAACTGGCTGGAAGAGATAGTTTAATGTGAAATGAAGCTGTTGCACTGTGGAAACATTACAGACATTATTAAGAAAGAAGCCAAAAATAAATTTCTAGCGCTGTAATGTTTTTGTGAAAATCGGTGGTGTAACCACACTTGAAATATCATGTACAATTCTGAGGCTAAGAAAATACTGTAGAGCAAGAATAGTGCAAGAAAGTGCAATCAGAATAATCAAGGGACTTGAAGTCATTTGAGAAGTGTCATACTTTTTTTTAGTTGGGAGAAAGCGATACTTAAGCAAGTACTGTAATGAAAAAAAAATGCATAGGATGATATATGGCTGAGGACAGGTAAAAAGAACCAGTACCTTACAATGTATATTTAAACTAATAAATTTATTCCTCTGAATGTAAGGATAGACCATTTAGAATATTAGACAAATTATTGACTAACTCATGATCCTAAATATTACTTCTAATTAGGGATGGAGTAGCAGTCATCATTCCATGTTTTGCAGTCCACATCTGGAAGTCCTCCTTTTAGTATCATAAGCAATCTACTGTACTTCTTAGTTCACTTGCTAGCAGGAAGGTGCTATTACTACGATGTTCTTATTTGTGGACTTCCTTCAGATATCTATATTGGCTGTTTGAGATAAATGCTAGATTAAGTAAGTATTTAATTTAATCCACCCTGGTTTCTCTTATGTTTTCTCTTCCTTTCAAAATTGTCAAAAGAGTCCTAAACAGATGACAGTGTTAAAGTCTCTAAAGAAAATATAATATTTTCTAGATGCCATTAATTAATAGTAAATGAAGAGAATTTCTGATTAATACCTGCTTTGTTCTAAATTATTATCTTAAATACTTATTATTTATTCAAAATGTAGTGTTTAGTATTTGTCAAGTTGGAAGAAAAATCTAGAGTAATTTAGAGAACTTCAGAATAGTAGTAAGCAAATTGCTTTCCTGGAATGTGTTAGCAATTTCTGTTGTAAATTTATCACACACGAACTTCAACATTTATTTTCCTCAGTAATTCCTACAAGTATATTTTCATACTTAATGAATTAGATTTGCATAATCTATCTGGCTCCTGAACTTTTAGTCTGTTAATCTCCTTAGACATTTAGTCTGTTTATACTTTCATCATTTAGGACAGTTCTTTCTTTTCATAGTGGGTGTACCATGTATCACCATCAACTTTAGTGAAAGTTATCCAAACTCAACCTTATGTGTTTCCCTTCAAATATATTGAAATTATTTAAAATTCTTTACAGTATTGATTCTCTCCATTCAGATCTTTAAGCTTAGCTAGAACTGTTGTCTGAAGGAAGACAGCAACTATTAAACCAGCTTGAATTTCTAATGGGCTTTACCTTAAATTCCTGAAGTATGGCCTCACCCAGTGTAAGATGTCTATGCCTATGTCATACCCAGTTCTTGTTTTGTGACGGCTGTCAGCCATACCAGGTAGGCCAGACAGGAAATACAACCAGATAAGCTAATTTTACTTTATTGTAAACCTATATTGACATTAATTTGAAAGTACATTTCTCCAACCTAGCTGAAGAAACTAGAGAAGATCCCTTCTGAGCCTCTTGCCTCACCCACTCTCCAGCTGCAGGCTATGCTATCTCTTATCTGATCATTCCAGAGGCAGCATTTCTTTGCCCCTCTCACAGGAATTTTACTACCTACCATTACAATGGCCACTATGTATAGATAATTATAATTATCTCCACATACTATATTTCATCTCTCTCTGACCAACGAATATATGCATTCGTTGATGCATATATTTTTCATAGATGCATATATTTTTCTCAGTGCCTCTAATGAAGTGACTTGTAATTCCTGAAGCCTTCTTCTGTAATAAATGTTTAGTCTTTAAGATGCTATGTGCTTTTCTGAAAGGTCATACTATCTTGGTAGTTTCTGTGCTTTCAGCTGTTAGAGCTTACCCTGTTGCATAAGTATCTGTAAACCTGCAGTTGTAGATTTCAAGGATTGAGGTAAGGTATTCTTTGGGAATATTAAATACACATGTACAAGGTAAAATTCTCAGATTACGTAATGAGCCCACATTTTTAACTAGACTGAGACTTTTTCCTTCCTAATTTGTCAACTTCAGACCTTAAGGCACTTCCTCTCTATTTTCTCTTTCCCCTCTCCTTTGCAATGTGGTAGTGCCAGGAGCATCTTCTCCCTCTCATCCTCCGAGAGTGTAAGAAATACTGGATAGGCATCATATCTCTGTTACTGTTTGTTGGCAACAGTGGACAACACAACTTCCTTAACTTTGCTTCCCTCCTACTTGGGGATGTGGGGAGGGGAGAGATTTCCATTTCTTTGGTGGAAATTGGAGTGGTTTCCAGAGTTCCTCCCCCTCTCCTTCCTAATAGAAGAAAGCAAAAAGAGGGAGAATTTTCATCTCTCCATTTTTTTATTTTCAACTTTTCTCAGTAGTGAACTTTCTCCTTTCCTGGATATCCCTTCCAGTGAATAAGATGTTCCCTTGTGTCTCTTCTGAGACAGATGTGTAACATATTTCCACCTAAATTCTTCTCTCCTATCCCCAATTCCAAGACTGGCAATGATGTTGTAATATACTGAGGTGTGGGTGTGTGAATCATGACATGGGTGAGAAATAATGGAGAGCTTCAGTATCGATGGAGGTTATGTTGGGATTTATATATACGAGTAGTCTAAAATGTTCCACTAGACATCCAGCTTCTTAGCTGAGGAGAAGAGAATCAAATAGTAGAATCAAATCACATTTGAAAGCTAAATGTGATAGGAGACCTTCACAGTGATGCAACAGAGGACTTGCAGTGTTTTGGCATTATCTAGCTGTTCTTTAAGGAGATCCTGAGGAGGCCACTCAAATAACTTACAACTGGGATAAATTTGATAGAAGACATGACAGTGATCTGAAACAGTGACATCTGAATAGAGGTATTTTGAAAGCAAATTTAGCTGTAGTTAAAAGATAATTAGTCTTGCTGGTAGTTTATGCAAGAATGAAGTTAATACTCTTAAGGTAGCATATGTCTTCTTGATTTCTCCAGCTACAGAAGATAGATATAATGTAGGTGGAGCGTAATGTCCAATAATTGAAACACCTTTCAAGAATTGTGCTGTTAATTGTATGCCTCTGAAAAATATAAGATAATTGGGCAGGCTTAGTTCTAGATTCTGGAAAACTTACTGAACAAATAGATGAGCTGTCTGAGGGGCAGCCGGAGACTATGGTGGATTAAATTGAGATATCTTAAAAAAATAATAGCAGATACTATCAGAATAATATCCAGGCAGTTGATACATGGTAGGTCAACAATAAATGTTCAGGGAAATTATATCCTGTGATCTCTTTACAGAGGTGAAGGAATGCATTATTCTAGCTGGTTTGTCAGTGAAAAGTTTGGCATGGCAACGAGTGTGGTAAGAAGAAACCCAAGACTTGATATCTTCTCTGATACAATACAAAAAGTCACAGAGAAGGATAAGGGTCATTTGAAATAGTTCAGAATGTCTACCTGACAGGTTGCTTGTAAGAGCAGAGTTGTAATTTTTTTTTCCTCAAGGAAGAAAAAAATTACATTATTATGATACAGTTACCCCTGTTTCTAATGGAAAAGGAAGAAGACAATGAGCCAAA